CTATTACTGTCATTAACAAGGTCTACAAAAGAAAAAAGTAAATCTGCAGCCAATTACATAACCAAAACTCTGACCTAGTTTTCAAATTTTTAAAACGCAGATAATAGCTAACAAATTGCAAAGGCCAACATTTCAGGGATATGAAATATTCCTGAGTGTTGCTAGACAGTTCAGGTTGCTAAACAAATTCCACAACCAAAGGCGTCTTTCAGAAAGCGGAAAATGAAGGAAATACTGCTCACCAGCTTTCTTTCTCTGCCCTACTCTTTGTCGGTTTGCAGGTTTGAAGGCTGATGGTCTCATAGTAGTACACGTTTTATCATCCACACTAGACGTAAGAGTTCTTTTTCTTTCCACTTCCTCCACATACGCTGGAGCTATAACTCTACTATTTTCTACATATATTTCACTTTTCCTCTTACGACCCAAACAAGTTGATCCAGTAGGAGATGAATTTACTTTGTCATTGTGACACTTATTTTCGGCTGAAATGGGACCTATAACTGGAAGGTACTTAGATATTTCTGCTTTTGCACATACAGGCACCACATTAGCACAATCCATTATTGCTTTATTAAGGCATTTTTTAGATTTTGGCTGGAGGATTTCCATTCTTTTTTCTTCAGCAGCTTCAGGCTTATTTTTGATGACAGTGGCAGAACAAACTGGACGAACTGGACCCTTTTTTGGTTGATCTCTCCGAGAAGAATTGCAAGTCTGAAGTTCCTCTGTAGAAGGAAAACTGAAGTGATTTTCTTTGGGTTTGTCATAATGAAGTACCTGTGAGTCTACATTATGCACCTCTAAGACTTCATTTAACTTACGTTCCATATGAACATGTGGTTTTGTCTCTATGTCTCCATTTCTTTTCCATTTTGAGGGTAGCAATTTCTTCACAACGTAAGTCTCTGTAGCAGATGATATTAAAGCTGCCTCAAGTTTGGGAGTCCTTTGCCTATCTGACAAGCTGTCTTTCACAAATTGATCAGGTGACAGAATTGGAACAGGCTGCTCTATAGTATCTATTTCCACTTGATAACTGTCATTTACAAAAGAATCTGGACTTAAAATCCTCCTCGTACTTAAAACAGGCACAGACGCTGAGTGTTCTGGAGTGCAAACTGGTGAGAGTGTACAATTAAGAATTACTTCATTGTGTGAAATTGGCAGTTGTGCTACTCCAGTAGAACTGCATGCAGTTTCAGATTTTAATTCATTGTGCTCATCAACAAATTTCTTGACATTACAGCTGTCTATTTCAAGCAGTAACTCCTGATTTACAGTGGCAGCAATATCTGAGAACGTTGTAGATCTTCTCATTGCAAGTGGTGTGCAAACAGTATTGCAATGTTCCTCTAGCACTGGTGCAATAGGAGATAAAAGCAATTTATTTTCTGATCCAAGAAGAGAGTCATTTCCTGGGGACATACTATTTTGCACTGTGTTCTGATTTTCACATGGCTGAAGTGGGCTTCTAATTCTATCCACCTTCTGGGAAACTTGAAAGGTTTTATTAACATTTTTAACTGTCAAATTAGTTTTTTTAACTTTTATTGAAACAGATGGTTCTGACGAGTTTTTCTTTTTTATAGTATCCCAAAGACTCTTCTGAAAAAGAACCATAAATAGAAGTTAGTATGCTGACTTTCACATACTTTTATGTGCAAAAGCAAACATTACTAGCTTATTCATTCAGAGTCTAACAATACTATAAGAAGAACACCTAGTCCAAAATTCACCATAAGTTATTTCAAGGCTTGAAAACAGCTTTTTTGGTCATGTTTTAGTTTTATTCTTATGTCATACACCAATACCTACTTTCCAACCCAGCTGAAAAATTTTGAGGACAATGAGCATTCCCACGGACATAACCTTTTATCAATTTTTAATCCTCCTTTATTGAATTTTCTACGAATAAAACCAATATCTGTGTCGGCTGTGCCAAAGTAATAAATTAAGACACATCATAAACACACATTTACCTTTTTCCTTGGAGGCTGCTCAGCCACACCCAGGAGCACAGCTTGATGCTTTACAATGTCATTAATAACAAAAGTTACCAGTTCTCGGACTTTTCCTTCTTCTAATGGTGTCCATGTTACAGAAACAAAGATTCTTTGTCCTGACTATTCGAGAAAAAGAAATATTTAATACCTAGCACTTAGGTACCCTTATGCAACGTCAAAGATAGACTAATCAAATAAAGTGAGAAACAGTATACTGAAGTAACATATATTCCGACAACACGAAATGATAAGCAATTGTTAAACATTTAAATGTCGATTTTCCCCTCTGACATGTAAATTCAAGCAACCTCTATCAAAAATGCTGTCTTACTAAAGGGGCATATACCTCTTAATGAAACTGTAATGGAAAGCAAGCAAGAACACTTATAACACATAACAGAAAGGAAAAGATTTGAATAAAGGTACATAGAAGAAACGACATAATTTTTGCACATATTAACCAAATAGGTCCTCTAAAGTAATTTTGAGATAATTACATTTGGACTAACAATCAGAGGTTAATCTTCAGGACCTTATCTGATCCTAAATACAAGTGTCAACTTTTTTAGCCAAAGACCTGCAAAGATGCGATTTGACACCCAAGTTCATGGAATAACAATGAAGACAGTGCCAATAAACACAGAAGTCGTGGAGCTATGCATGATCTATGTAAAGATTCTTCATGCACAGTCACCTCTACTGAATCATTTTGGTGCCCTGCTGACATCAATACTAACAGACCAAAAGAAGAGAGAGTGTGAAAATAACCAATCTCTTGAGCATTTGAATTAGGAGTTCCACCTCCTCGGGCAGATGCATTTAAAGCAAACACACAAACCAATTTAATACGTGCTTATACAGTAAAGCTGGTCAACAACATTTAGCATTCGTTAATTACTGTAGGAAGTTGCTATTGAAATACTTCACAGTGAGAGTCCAGCCGGTTTTTATAAGCACACTGTTGCAAGAGATCTCCAGAGAGTTTCCTCCTCCTCTCTCACAAAGACTCTGGAGATTCTAGGTGACCATAGATACCTGTTTGCCTAAACCATCCTTTTAAAAAATCAGCATTGATTGGATCAACCGTAGTTAACATTTCCTTGGGAATCGTGAAGATTTATTCCTAGATTAAGCCCGCTTTGCTCTCTATTGCATTATTAATTGACACACAGAACAGTGGATTAGTATCCTCTTCACAACAAGCTCCCTCAGCCTTTTTCCTCAAATAAACAGACGTCCTCCAACTTTTGAGAGGTCACTTTTTAAACACTTCTTATGCTTCTGTCTCTGTCTTTAAAACCGCATTCCCCGAGAACAACTGATTTTTTTTATTTGTTTATGTATTTTTCACCTTACTGCAAAAAAAAAAAAAACCATTTGG